GGGGGGGGGGGTGGGGGGAGGTTGGGGCTGTCCAGCACCGCCACCCAGGCCTCCAGAGTGGAAGCCGGAGGGGCTACAGAGCTCTCCCAGGCTGCCCCTGTCAGATTACAAATGGGTAGACTGAGACCCAGAGAGGAGAAGGGCTTGCTGGTAACTGGCTAGCCTTCTGCTGGAGCAGAGCCCCGCCTCTGTCCCCCAGGCTAGGGATTGGGCAGGCTAGGTACCGGGGCAGGGAGGCGAGAGGCCCAGAAGGAAGGGCGGGCCTGATTCCCAGGAGTAGGATGTAAGAGGCCTGGTGTTGTCTCACCTCCAGCTGTCGCAGAAGTTCTACAGGGGTGCCAGGGAGGCCCTCAGGTGCAAGACCGTACTTGGTGTCAAGGCAAGAGTTGAGCTTCGCCAAGGTCTGGCTGACTGAGTCAGCTTCTTCCTGGAACTGAGGTCACTGGGTGGTCAAGGGCAGAGCCTGGGGCCGCTTGCTGCCCTCTGATCCTGCAAACCAGTTGGCCCCAAAGCAGCTGAATGTGAACCAGGCTAAGCCCAAGCCAGCTAAATGTGAACCAGGCTAAACCTAAGCTAGCTAAACTCAAGCCAGTTAACCCCAAACCAGCTAAACCCAAACCAGGCTAAACCCAGACTGCTACTCCCCTCTACGCTGGTTGGCCTTTTTCTACCCTGGCAGCAGGACCTTTTTTTCACTAGAGTTCTCTTCATTTTCAGTTCACTGAACACTTCTTTTTGGAGATGGTCTTACCCTGTCACCCAGGCTGGATCGCAGTGGCGTGTTCATAGCTCACTGCAGCCTCGAACTCCTGGCCTCAAGCAATCTTTCCGCCTCGGCTTCCCAAAGTGCTGGGATTACACGTGTGAGCCACTGCACCTGGCCTCGCTGAACTTGATTTTGTAATTGTGTCATAAAATACTTGGTTTTCGTCTCCTGCTTGCCTAGATGAAGGGCACCCTCGTCTGCCTCCCTCCAGTGCCTGAGTCATTCTCGCTGGGATGGGGGATGTTGGGGGCTACACCTGCCCAGCCTCAGAGTAGGAGTTGGGAATGTGCTTTAAAAAAAAAATCCCCTCCTATAATCCCAGCACTTTGGGAGGCTGAGGTGAGAGGATTGCTTGAGCCCACAGGTTCGAGATCAGCCTGGACAACCTGCTGAGACCGCCTCTCTACAATAAATCAAAAAATTAGCTGGGCATGGTGGCACACGCCTGCAGTTCCAGTTGCTTGGAAGGTTGAGGCAGAAAGATCGCCTGAGCTTGGCATCGAAGTGACCATGACCATGAGTGTGCCATTGCACTCCAGTCTGGGCGACAGAGTGAGACTCCGACTCAAAAAAAAAAAAAAGCCATGACTGAGTGATCACATGGGATTATTGTCAGTAGGTGTATGATAATGGCATTGTGATTCTATAGGAAAATGACATTTTGGGTGGAGATTATCCAATTTATTTTTTTATTTATTTTTATTTATTTATTTTTTTGAGTTGGAGTCTCACTCTGTCGCCCAGACTGGAGTGCAGTGGCCGCTCCCGGCCACCGCAGCCTCGACCTGCTGGGCTCCGGTGATCCTTCCGCCTCAGCCTTCCAAGTAGCC